TTCACGGGCTTCGTGAAATATACCATTATTATTATTATTATTAAAAGTAATGAAGGACTCATTGACAACAAAATCACTGAGTTCGTTGACCGAGATCGTTGCTTGCACGATGTCCAGCACGGGTTTCGTGGGGAACGGTCCCGCAAAATCAAACTCATTGAGACCATGTGGAGGGGGTGCAACTAGAAGTAGTCATTCCAGATTTTTCCTTAGCCTACGATAGAGTTCATCACTTTCTGCCAGTAGAAAGGCTAGTGAAACGGGGACTCCTGGAAACCCTAATAGCTTGTTCCTCTGAGATGGAACCTTTCAGATTCGAGTGAACGGCGTTCTCCAAGACAGGTTTGGAGCACTCGCTGCCTTACCGCAGGGCTGCGAGCTCGGCCACAGACAGTTCACAATGTTTGTGAACAACTACCCTGAAGCGACAAAATAGAACGTACTAATATTTACAAATGACAATGGGATCTGCAGCGAGATTGTGAAGCACATTAGATGTGGTAGTCGGTATAGTATTGAATTTAGGAATNCGAGACTCCGTACTGTACTGCTGAGAACTGAATTGGCTCCAACTCGAACTGCGGACACTAATGAAATAAGCAAGGAATTGACAACAGCAAATACTTATGTTTATTGATAGAACTATATCATGTTTTATGGAATGTAATGGTCTATATGATTGGTTGAACGAGCATCCTCTAATCATGTAATCGTTTGCACCGACGTATCATATGTGCTTACTCGGATGTAACTTTCGCCCGGTGAACCATTGGTCGAGCTTCCTAAACGGTGATTGGATGACATGAAGTTGTACCTAATCATGCATGGATTGGGGGCACGGATGTCTAGATCACCACAACTCTCTTCCCTCAAGAATGCCTTGTCTATCTGGCTCGCCTGACGGCTAGACCTGCCGACTGCAATCGTTTGCTCCGCCTGTTCCTAGCGGTGTCCTTGTGTTTCGATAGGTTTTAATTTTGCACATCTGACTGATGCGGCTCCTTCGGTTGTGTTAATGGGGTATGCAACTGACTGTCTTCCTCGCTTGTCTCTTGATGCCGCTGGTCCGTGGATAATTTTAAGTGAATTTGGTCCTCGTGTCGCTTGTGCACAGTAGCATCATGGAAGTCGGTAATTTCCAACATGACTTGACCCATTTGTCGTGTGACTGTACCAGACGCGGGTCGCAAATCATTACCACGAAAGTGTACGACGTCACTGGAGTCGTGGCACTGTAGGGAGGATCGCAAATGTCTGGATTCAAAAAGCTTTGCCGGGCTTTCTTTGGTGGTTGTATGTGTTGCGTTTTGGTATTGAAGTAGGAAGTTATCCATCAACGTTTCCAACTCATGTAGCGTTTTAGGCTTGGCAGACGCAATTGCACTCGTGACAGTTTTGATTAAATTCTCTGCCGCTCCGTTCGAACAGGAGTGACCAGGCGCAGTTCGAAAATGTCGGCAATCGATGCTGTCCATCCAAAGCTTCAATTTGGTAGCGCAAAACTGAGATCCATTGTCCGTCACAAGCACTTGTGGAATCCCTTCTCGACTAAAACGTTTCCATAGAACTTTTATCACAAATGATGTGGTAGGCGTAGTCGTAAGGAATACCTTTGGTCATTTGGAGTATGAATCGATCAGAACAAGGGCGTAGTACCGGTTCAGAAATGGGCCACAGAAATCCAAATGAACTCTTTGCCATGGTACATAACTTTCCGGCCATGGTGTCCAGTTTTTCGGTCTTGTTCGTAATTTGCGTTAACATAACTCACAGTTCTTGGTTGTTGCGTAAATGTCTGTGTCCAACTCCGGACACCAGCACATCTGTCGAGTAAGTAATTTCATCTCCACCCCCATATGTTCTATATGCAGTTCTTCTATTACCGTCTTCCGTAGTGGCGGTGGGNCCATCCAATTGTACTGGCAACTCCTCTCGGTGAGCAAAGAGTTGCGGATACTTTACCTTTACCTCTGGTGACCACCCTTTCCTGATCGCTGAGTGTATGGTCGAGTAGTACTGTTTGCTAGATTTGCGTAAAGATTTTCGAGACACTGGTGATGCTGGGGAGATGAAATGACACTGATCAGCTTTTGAGAATCGTGAGTAGCAAGAGAAGAAATAAGCCTGCGGGATTGTCTTTTCTGGACAACAATTCTATGCGGCTAAAGCAATACTCCACTTCTGTAGCTTAGCAGCGGTTGACTTCGCGATGGATTTGTTGGGGCTGGACAAGAACTGTAGCGTTTGGTGATCAGTGATGATGGTAAACCGCAATACGAAAAAGTACTTGTGCAATTGTCGAACAGCCCAAAACACAGTCAACGCTTCTTTTTGAGTTTGTGAGTATCCGTTNTCCGTTTTCTGCCGCATTGAGTAGACGTAAAATGCAGATCACTGGGCATCCTTCTTGTTCTGATACAGCACCGATTCCGACGTCGAATCTGAAAGCCACAACTGAGCGGAACCCGGGTGGCAGGACCAACGTGATGAATTCCCGTCCAGGTGAGCGACTTGGCCACAACATTTACTGCCGAGAATACTACCCAGAGTTACTTATCCTTGGATTTATCGTTTTTTTGTAGAGTTTTATCTTTACATACCCTTTTTTACCGGACATAGTGTTGAAGCGTGTCTGGACAAGGGCAAGGGTAGCCCAGAGAAATCCTCCTAAATTGACTACACGAGCCAAGCAGATTATTGCACTCTACCCGTGTGCCAGAATAGGGTGTTCTCTTGAGGTGGTTGAGGGCATCCGTTGTGATCTGTGCCAGGATTGGTTTCACCAACGGTGCAGTAAACTAACTTCCAAGGCAGTTGAACAGTATGCTGTCCAACAGTTCCTGAAATGGGTTTGACCAAACTGCACCAGCTCTATCGGAATATCCAGGGTGAAAACACCGCATCCGAAAGGAAACTCTCCTTCATAGCTGGCAGTACAAGCTCCTCCGTGTAACTCGACCCCAATTAGAAAGATAATCGAAGGTAAACTCGAACTAGAGACACTGATGCCTGGAGAGGGAAACCAGTCTGGAGTGGTTGACGACCAGGAATGGATTTTAGTGGGGAAGCCTGAGCGTGATGAACAACAAACCAAGTCAGCGGCACCCCGAAACCGAGGGGTCAAATCCAGCCCTAGAGCACGCGTTGCCAAACCGGCAACCGCAGGGATGAGTGTGCAATCCGCCGGAAATAGGAGGGGAACCAACAAGGCTACCCAGTGTCACTTGGCACCAGGGAAAGGGGCACTTGATGCGCGCATGGACTCTAACGAGAAGGCCATTGCGAAGCTCGCCGAAATCACCACCAGCCTGAGAGACTCCCTGCATAGACTCGGGGCCCATACCAACACAGCCCTAGGGACAAACAGAAACGTTGTTATCAGGGGCATCCCAGAGCCGTTTTGTAGAGAAACGCACAGCCGCAGGCAAACGCTCCTACATCAAGTTAGAAACATATTCCGACTCGCTCAGATCCCCTCTGAGGTGCAGATCAAGCAAGTGTTGCGCCTTGGGAAATGGCAGGGCGATAAACAGGCACCTAGTTCCTTACCACTTAGGCCAACCCTTGTAAAGCTTTATAATCCGAGGCATCGAGACTTGATGCTGGCAGCTTCCGCCAATGTGAGGAAGTTAACCGAAGAGCAGGTAACCATAGGGCCGGACTACCCCCGCAAACGTAACACAACGGCCTCACCTAGCTCACCTAGCTGCGGGCAGCAATTTAGCACCAAGTTTCTGTCCGTCAACGTAGTAAGAGTGAGGCACGAGAATCCGAGCAGGAAAACGACCCCGGTCCGAGAGATGGCCAGAGGGGTGTATCTCCAGGGCACAAAGTCCACAATAGGGAGGCGGACCCGCAAGGAGACTCCGCCACAAGACCAGAGGTAAAAAACGTGAAGGTCACCCGGGAGCAACTCCCGGGTGCAGCCCCTCAAAAGCAATAGGAGGTAAAAGGACGCAGGCTCTCAGTGTTTACTACACTAACGCCTGAAGCCTAATGAAGAAGTGGGCCGAGCTCCGGGCTGAGGCTGACCAAACGCATTGCCTAGCCATAACAGAGACTTGGCTCAAGTCTGATTTTTGTATCGCGGGCTTCTGTCCATCAAGATTCCAGGCTTATCGCTGCGATCTTCCAGGGGAAAGTTTGAGGGGTGGTGCTCTACTGCTCGTGGCAGACCTCTTTCCTCAGACGGCCGTGGATACCCTGTGCACGGAGAACATTAAGGCTGCCGGGTGTGTAGTCAAGCTCTCACGAGTAAGATTAGCAGTTCTGAGTGTCTATCGTAGCCCAAGCGCAGGCATCGACGAAAGTGAGTTGCTGATAGATTTTCTCCGGCACACAACAACTCGGGCAAGTAGTGTTCTTGTCTTGGGGATATCAATGCGCCCGAGATCGAAAGGGGGATGGAGTATGCGCCAGTAAGCAGCTTTGGGGATGTGCTACTAGAGGTGATGCATGAAT